TACCTGTGAGGAGACTCGTCTGATTGAGTGCACGGTTGACGTGTGTTACGTGCAAGGAATTAGGAATTGGCCAATCGAATGAGAGAAGAATGATAGAGTCGTATTTCAATTCAATAAATGAAATGTTAATGCGCGTTGGATTGTGCTCCATAAGGCCGGTTGAGACACCCGAGCACAGACGAGTGTATCTCACAGAGAAACATATAGTATCGACTGCGTTGTTCTTGAGACCCAAGAGTAACGAACGTTTCAATACTTTATTTTAATAATTTATTTTGATTTCTCGCGAACAAGGACTGAAGATGGCTTCAGGACGCAAGCAAAAACCATACCTCAACGACTTGTTGATGATGAGACCAGGACTGCGTGCCCAAATACCCGACTCGCCTTCTTTATCATTGGCGTCTCTTGGACCTCCACATTATCAAAATGCTGGCTATGAAAATACCGAAAGCTTTACGGGAAGTCACTACGAAGATCTAGATCGCTACAATCAAATTCCCGCCTGCCCGCGCAAGAACGACAACGCTGTTTACCAACAGGCCACTCCATTGAATATGATCCCAACAGATAAAAAAATCGAACGACAACGCCAGTTTACGGAGTGCTCTGACGATTCTACAAACAGTCTAATGCACTCGAGCTCCAAAAGAATGCCGCGTTGTAGTACGATAATTATTCATCTTATTCAGCTAATAGTGTCATTGGTAGCCTTGACTTTAGTCATTTTGATGATAACAGGAAACATTAAAGTTAATCAGTGTGGATGTGATACCAAATCAGGTAAGCGTACTACTCATTCTTTAGTAATTTGCTATCAATGAAATTCCACTAAAGTTGACGCAGCTGGGCATATTTGGCACAGGCAACGCCGGTGCGAATGAATGAACCACGTTTGTTTACCTACGATTGCGCGCCATTCATTCATTGGTATTCCATGTGTGTTTCCGAGTGTCTTAGATAATTTAKCAATTTCGTAGGGGAAGTGGTTCGTATTATTAATTCAAGGTAGATTTAGGGAKGAAATTTTAGTAACTATCTGTGGGCGCCTAGAATGTGTCCCGCGCTCCTGAAACCGGAACTTCTCTGACACTATCTCTAGTCGTCTGTCCAATGTAAGCTCACGTTCCCACGCCGAAACACCAGTAGAATTATCCTTGTCTCGTTTCTCGAGTACAAAGTTACATGTAGCCATGTTTAAAACAGTCATTAATATAGGAATACATATCTTCATGGTAAGGTGTTTAAAGGAGGYCACTCTTGAAGACTTGGAGTCAAATAGTTGGATAAACATTTTAAATTTTAACTCAGAAGTCAAAGTCAGGACATGGCTCGGGTGTCTATCAATAACGAAAACGACAATTCGTCATTAAGAATGTACTAATTTTTGGATTGCAATACTGTTTGAAGAGCTGTACATTCCATTTTCGTTAAACAAATTGCTCGCTAACTAGCTTTGAGAAACAAAAACCAGGCCCTCCCAAGTTATGTTTCTTGCTAAAATGGTTGTGGTATGAAAATAACCGAAAATTAACAATTTCTATGATTCTTATATAAAGTTATACGCTGCAATATGTCTTTTTTTCTTTTCTTTTTTGGAATTGCCAAGTTTGTGTTAAGAAAACTGTCTTCCATAATAATTATTTATCTTAGAACAAACACTCCCCCTAATTTGTTTATTCTGTGATTTCTATCATATATACACTCCTTTCTACCACTTCTTTCTCTTTTACTCCGACGAAGGACTAGCGTCCGAAACGTCAGTAAGTTTTTTCATCTTTTCACGGTGTATAATTTACCTTTTYATCATTACTGTTTCATTAGAAACACCGACGCAGCTCACACTAGTTTTTAGCTAGTTGTATCTTTTTATTCTGTGATTTGAAAAGTGGCTTCTTCAACCCCATTTACAGATTCAAAGAATTCATTTCATTCAATCATTCCTTTGTTAAGCCCACGTAGAAGGTTAACATTGTGATGGGCATCGGTGATCAGAAAGTCCTAGTCAGGAAAACTCCCTAAGTCTGTTTTTCCTGGCGGCTTTAATCCCATTAAACCCCACAACTTTCCTAAACAAACGGACTCCAAATTCCTTATTCCCTGAGCATACTAAAGAATACTATAGTGATAATTTTCGATGAGTCTTTAGTGAAATTTTCCACATTCTTGACGAATTAAACCCTTTATTCATATCGTTCCATGCGACGAGGTTTCATACCTTCACGTTTACCCTATACATAGCTGAAGTCCTTGAGAGTTTTGAGGTCGGACTTTCGTCGTAGATAACATAAGATGTCCCTTTTAATCAATATATTAAAACCACTGTTGGCCACTTGATTGATAAGGCTCGCCTACTTAGATACATAACTCACGAAAATTTCCTATCCAGAATTAGTACTCTTTGTTAGCCAAAATGTATTGTCTTTCTTTATTATTTTCATTCAGTGATGGTTTCATTTTTAATTTGGTAGTTTTTGGCATAGAAATTGTAAGGGAATCCAACAGTTATCTTCTCTTGTGGGTACCTTACTAACCACCTAGGTTACATGACTTTTGCGAAACCGCAAGAATTTAGTCGGTTACCGCCAAATTAAATTATACCTATAATTAAAGTAAAAACGATAAGAACATATTATTTAAAGATAGTACTAGTCTGAGCATTTGCGAGAGATAAAACTTCGTTGTATGGAGATAATATGAAAAAAATGAAGTCAACGTTTTCTCCTTTTCTTGCGTAAAAAGAGCATTTATGCGGGGAAGATCCTAGGAAGTCTTGCCAAGTCTGCTTGAAGTTAAGGCCAAGTAAGAGGATTGAAAGCCATGAGCAATAATGACTAAAAGCGCCAAAAACTAGACTTTCGTATGAGTTTTGACCCCAATTTTCGTTTTGGGTAAGCACTCAAAACCTTTTTTAAACAGTTAGAAACTGATGTACTATGATAAAATGCCTGTTTGAAGCGGTATTTTCAATTATACAAAGATGTTTTGTTGCATTTGTGTTAGAAKGTTGCTTTGTCAGGCTTTTTTATAGAAAGTATATGGGAAATAAGCAAATGAAGGCCTAAACCTCATTTTCGAATAAAATGTTTGCTTTGGGTTAACACTTTGATTCCACTTTCATCGGTCATCTCCATTTCCAAATAAGTTAAACTTTCTGAATAACAAGATTTTAGCCTTGTACAACAGCCTTTCTTCAAGAAAATAGTTTTTGGCGCTCACTGCTTGAATACGAAAAGAATTCTCTCTTAATTCAAAACGCGCGTTCTCTTTCTCTTTTCTCTCATATTCTCTCTCTCTCTCTCTCTAATTGTTTGGTAATTTTGGGTTTTTACTTCTATTACATTTCTCCGAAAGACGTTTTTTACAACTYGTTCTAACAGGCAAAAATGCTCCTCGGGTGGGCAACTGATTTACATAAGTTCCTGTTTGCGCCATTAAACATTTCGCAAGTGTACTTCACAATGACGTACTTTGAATTATAACATTAACGCTTTCTTTATAAAAGGATTAATTTATTATTACAGTAATAAAAGGATGATTATAGCCTGCATTGACGCAATAGGCAAACTGTTGGATAATCGAGGTGGGAGTTTGCGTAAATCCAAAAAAAAAAAAAAAATCGAGCAAGCATTTCAACCACGAAAAACATATCGGGCCACCTTTCCTTTCAGTAAAGGATTATCGAGAAACTACCAAAAACAGGGGTTGCAACAACAAAATAAATATAGTGCAACATAAATTCATGCACCCCTCCCCCCTCCCTCCTCAATTATTTAATGGTCAATCCCCTTACTTAAGCAGACCAGACGAAAAGGTGTTTTAGTTTATTGGCTACACTTCAAAGTATCTTCTTTCACACTTCTCTCCTCGGGCTACACTTTTAGTGTCTGGACATCTTTGAATCTTGTACGAATTGAAACCTTTTCTCTCTAGAATTTCAACTATACAATTATTTCTATGACTGTATTTTTCCATGGTTTTAAATTTTAATTTTTTATTGAACTAAAATCCGAAGAAGTTGATTATTTTGCTCACTAAAACTATTACGTCTTGTAAATCGCAGAAATTGAATCGCGACAAAAAAATGTGTATCTTTTTTTAAGTAGATTCCTCACGTTCTGTATACAAAGTCATAGGGAACTTTGATGCTATTTAATTTTCAAGCAACTTCACCCAAAATGTCATCCKAAGTGTCGTAAGTTATGTAACTAACTACATTTCCAAAGTTACAGAAAAGATGCATGCACTGACGTTTTTTAAGCATTTTATGATGTCTTAAATTTACGTAAGAATTTGGTCTGCTCTTTGCGCTGGACTTTTCTTTGCCTTATCCAGACTTACGAATTAAATGTCAAAACTTTTAGTTTGAAAATTTTAAGTTTGCCTATAATATTTTGGCTATGAGTCCAAAAAATAGTATCCATTGTATCAATTGCATTCTTGCTTCAGGGCCGGTTTTGAAACTGAGCTCTGTTGGACTTCATACTGCTTTGACTCCTCACAAACAGTGTCTTGTGACCTCAAGATGTATCTATAGCTAAAATCGATGCGTACGTGGYCATTCTTTGCCCGTTGACCCCGTTTCAAGTGGTTCATTAAATAGGTTAATATTGGATTGCATATCTGACCTTTTTTTATTTCAATATATGTGTGGTATTTTTATGGGGGAGGGGGAGGGGGGTGAGGGGGAAAGAGAGAGAGAGGGAGCACCCCCTCCTATTCCCTTTCCCTCACCTTCCCCCAAACCCCTAGAGCCCCGTTACGCAGGCTACATTAGAATAGATAATAGAGAGTTTTAGATTTACGTTCACGGCAAACGTCAAACCTCAGTTGACCAGTGAAAAAGTATTTTACATTACTGAAAAGGACTTGCAAAAGAATCCAAGTAGCAGAAAAACAAACGAATATTTGTGTGCAGTGAGAAAGTTTGCAAGAACTCGTAACCTTGAAATCCAACATTTCCCCAGCAGATCGATCCCATTTTTCCATTTTGACCTGTCAAACCTAAATCATCCATTTCTGTCGTTCATAACACCGCTAGTCCTCTAACCTGCCCAAGCACATTTTCAATATTTCATCTTCTTAGGATTACCAAGGATTGCAAAATAATATATCTTAACCTCGTTGATATATAAACAGCAGGAAATGTATTCTGTTCTATTCTAGAACTTGAGAGCGGGAATCGTTAGTAAGAAAAACAGAAGATCTTTTGATGCATATTATAGACTTATTTTGAAGACTGTTTCATTGGCGCGCGCGCTAATTTTTCCCGCCAAAATTAGGAGCTGCCACTGTTCAAGGAGTTGCGATTCCAAAGCTTTTTTTTCTTGTGTATAATTCGTTTTGAATTTAACTAGATATGGATTTTGTATGGATTTAATATTTCGTGTTTTTTTTTGGAAAAGGAACAGGGTGTTTGTTGACTGAAATTTGAAGGCAAAAATTGGAATAAAAAAGAGTGTTGATAGGAGATCGTGTTCGAGATTGTGGGGGGCTTCATCTAATGTTTCCGGACCGGATGAATCCCACGAAGAATAATCCATTGGGAACTGAACAAACATGTACAATACCACCTGCGAACTGTCTGCTCTAGAACTCTTAAAATGCATATTTTTTTAACACGTTAATTGCCAATTCCGGTATTCCACAGTCATGTTTGTGATACCACGAAGTTGGTCTGGACGTGATGTTATAAAAGGCTTGAATTTTGAAAACAAACTCAGTTGGTTAAAGAGAAAGTTTGCTAAACAGGAATGAAAGGATGACATACTGATTGACAAATTCAAAATACGAATAATTAATTATTTATAAACGTGACTCAAGCTTTGATTCGTTAACATTGAATATGGCAAACGTTTTCTAATCATGAATGAAAGATTGACACACTGACGTACAAATAAAAAGTACGAAAGGTTAAAAAAAAAATTTGTGACTCAAGCTTTGATTCGTTAACATTGAATATGGAAAAACGTTTTCTAATCAGGAATGAAAGATTGACACACTGGTACAAATAAAAAATACGAATGGTTAAAAAAAATGTGACTCAAGCTTTGATTCGTTAACATTGAATATGGATTAGAATTTAAAAGTTTATTTTCGTGCAGCTCAAAGTTCAGGAGAGAAGCAACAAAACGCACTCTACTCTCATATAGTAGTGGAGTGTAAATTGGCAAAGTGTTTCAAGATATAGAACTTGATTGTCGAGAGGTTTCGGCTTCTCTTAGAGTACCTAACCGTAGTGCCCACCTTTTGCCACCTCTGACTTTTGGTATAAGGATTTCCGATAATCACTGTAAGCTTAATATGTCTTCACCTATCCCCAAATGCAAGCCAGGGCATGTGATGAGATGTTTGATTATCATGTGTTGGTGGTCTTAGATTCCTAGGATATCTTTTTAGGTTGTTGTCGGAGAGAAAAGGGCATGTTGCCAATGCTGCCTGCCTCTTCCAGTTTCTGTCTTTGATAATTAAAACGATTTTTTCTCTTAATCATATAATTAATATTAAAGCATTTATTCTTTTAAGATTTCCTTTTTAAACAAAAAGTCTGATTTGGTTATTCTCTCATTGTCGATGAGAATGAAACGCCTCCTGCTATAGGAAAATGCATATTTGTTATTAATTATCAAGTATAAAATTTCACCGATTTAGTAAGGGCGTTGTTATGTTAGTGCTGATCTTAACATTTCGACTTACACTTACACGAAGAACAAAGAGCACTGTTTGGCTAGAGTTTGAGAGAAGAGACGACAAACGCCCTTTTCTTTGATCAAAATATTTAGGTTCAAAGTACAACTTTAGTGAGCGGCAACATAAACATTTCTTAATTTTCAACAAAATTTTAAGCCAAAAAAAAAAAAAGCGTTTAACCTTGGTTTTTCTTCGTTGGATAGTAAGTACAATAGTGTAGACTCAAAACAAAATCTATAGATAACTTTTCGCGTGGTTTCTTTAGATCCTAGAGTGTCGATAGGACAAGTGGTTTGTTTTTAAGGTGTCATCGAAGTGCTCGCGTGCCGAGTCCAAATCACTAAGTAAATAAACAAAAGCATGTAACTAAACACTAACATTTGGGATTGCGTGCTAGCGGCTTTTTTGATCAAAACTTTTATCAAACACCAAAACCTCTTTTATGTTTTTTTTTATTTTTTTAATTTTTTCTTTGTTTTTGATTTTTAATTTTTTCGTGCCTGGATTGCTCTTATTTATTCATGTAAATGTATAAATAGGTAATGGCAAAAAAAAAATAATGAAAGCATGTAAGCAAATTTGGCATTGCGTGCTAGCGGTGCCTGTTCTTGATCAAAAGTCTTATCAAACACATCTGCATTTTTGCTTAGTCTTCTTTCGTGTATGGATTGTTTTTCTTCATGTAAAAGTATAAACAAAAAACGGCAAAAAATAATGAAAGCATGTAAGCAAACAAATTGGGATTGCGTGGCATGCGCCATTCTTGATAAAAAGTTCATCTTTGCTTTGTCTTTAGATATATCTCTTTATTCATACTTATTAGTCACCAAAAACCTAGAAAACAGTGCTCGCYGAGAATCATGGGGAAATGTTTTATATCCAACAAGCAAAGCTTTTGACACAAACTGCAGAGGATGAGGATACTCAGAGGAGGTTAACTTTTAACTGGTAGAAGATCTCAAGTCCATCAACAGTTATCAAGCGGTTGAGACATGTAAAATGTATCTACCCATAATCCTTGTCAGTCTCAGCTTTGTAGCTTTTCAGGTGACTAACTTTATTGAAATAAGTGTATACACGGTAGGCTTTAAAGATAGAAGCTTGTGGGGCCTTGTATCCATACACACTTTTTAATACATTCGAATTGGTTCATACACACAACCCTCAACTCAGCCGGCTTTCGTGAGCAAAGTGTTTAGCAAGAAACGGTATCTGTTTCATTAAACATGATACATTATCTCTCCCCCCCCCCCCTTTCCTTCATATCTTATTCTTTTAAGATTATCAATAAATTATAGTTTTGAAGTAAAAAGCAGCGGTGATTTACGAACAAACTTGCTTTGTTTTTATACATAACCAATTTTAATAGTTGCACGAGTTAGAAGTAGGAAGTTCTACTTTTTCGCGGCATTTTCTTACCAAGAAATCTTCACAGGCTTTCTACGTTACAGTGCCGCAGCAAATAAGCTCTAGTAGCTAAAAGCAATCAGTTCAACATGGAATAGGGCCTCTTAATGAAGAACAACCAAGATATGTGATACATAAAACAAGCAATCAATTCCAGTCCTTCGTCTTTAACTCTCAGTGCTTCTAATACTTCGAATATTTCTACAATTAATTTGAGATTGATGTTTTGTGATTTGTTTTGTGGTGTGTTGTTGCTAAATTTAATGCAATTCACTAACACAAATTCGTATTTGAAATAAAAATGTCTAAGACCAAATTTTTAACGTTGGAAAGTAGTCAACCGGCGTCAAACAGCTGCTTTTGATTTTCACTGAAGAATTTTGGTACGCAACTTTGCGTGCATCGATCGATCTTTTCTTACTGTTTAGATAACGTTTTACTTGCAGATGTATTCGCACGCAAAAATGTGCAAGTGGGATYGTGTGGCGGAAATCGAGATACAAGAAGGCGACGCTTTTCGATTTTTTTTCCAATTCAGTATTAAAATCACCTCAATTCTTTCTTTCTTCCTTTCTTCCTTTCTTCCTTCCTTCCTTCCTTCCTTTCTTTCTTTCTTTCTTTCTTTCTTTCTTTCTTCCTTTCTTCCTTCCTTCCTTCCTTCCTTTCTTTCTTTCTTTCTTTCTTTCTTCCTTTCTTCCTTCCTTCCTTCCTTTCTTTCTGTCTATTTTTTATATTTTTGGTAAAGTTGCAAGAATTTACATGAATTTCCTTTTTTCTTTTCCAGTCGCCTCGCAAAAATACCTCACAAAGATCACCCAGCCTTCCTCCTCAACATCATTGTTGGTCGAGAAAATCAACAGGCTTGAACGAAACGTTTCATCACTGGTAAGTTTTGGAAAATACATTCGATAAGTCATTCTTGCACTCCAAGATTACTTGAGTTATAAGTTATTTTTATACAGGTGAATAACTCATGTTTTTTTATATATTTTTTGCGTCAGATGGCAAGAGAGGCAATCACGTCCTCATTGGTTCGTATTCATCAAAAAGAGGTAAGGTGGATCACCTAGCGTATTTTCAATATTTCTAATTTTTCTTTACTTAAAATGACTTGTTCTTTATTAGATTCTGGAACTGAAGTCAAAGTTGGGAGGTCAGTCTGAAGGTCCAAAGGTATACATCACTGATTGTCTACTTCTACATCAAACGTCAATATACCTCTTGTAATGATTTCTCATTTTAGACCACGGCCCTTGAGAAGTTTGAAAAAAAAWWTTTTTCTTGAATTGTATCCGTATTCATGTGTCTTCTCATGTGCAACTGTTAAACAAAGAAATGATACTCAAGGGAATGACATGTGGTGTGAAATGGCAAAAAATTACAAAAGCRAAGAAGCTTTATTTAAGCTAATCTTGATCGCGAATTGCTATAAATTTAAACTTTTTGATTTCCCTCTTTGAATCTTTTAAGGAGGAATCGTCTGCAAATAAATTTAAGCAAAATATAACGACCGAAGTGAAAAAACTTCGCGAAAAACAAGTTCAACTCGATTCCTCTTTAACAAAACTCAAAGAAAGCGACAAGACCAAAGCCACCGACATCCAAGAAGTGAGCGCCAAGGTTATTGGGCTTGCTGTGGCAGTGAATTACTTAAGTCTAAACGATTCGTTGATCAAGTCTAAAGTACACAAGTTAAGTAATTCTGAAGTGGAGTTCAGGACATCTTTGGAATCACTCAAGCAAAAGGATGCTGAAGTAGATACGTCACTAAAAAGAGCAAAAGATGTTGAAGTATTCTTGAACACAAGTGTGAGCCACCTCAAGTCTGTAAATGGAGAAATGAGGAATAAAGTGGATCATTTGAACTCTACATTTATGACAAAGGTAGAAAATCTTACAGTAAAACTGTCTTGGGCATATACTAATTTTCGGAAATGTAAAGTTTACCCCTAAATGTACTTTTCCCACAAATTTCTACGAACAGAAACGATGTACAGCTCTTATCTTGTTTCGAAAAGACCCTTTTGCTTGGGGTTTAGTTAATAGATCCCCCCCATTAACTATGCTTTGGGGAAACCATCACTATAACGCCACACAAGAAATGAAAAAGAAAACAATTATGCATTCATGCAAAGTTAGCGCTTTCGACTTTCACTCCAGAGGTCAGTGGTTCAAGCCCTGACTGAGGGGTAAAATTCGTATGGTGTAAAGAACTTGGCTCTCTACACTGGGGACTGTGATTCCCTCGTGGCTCGGATGACCACGTTAAATGGCGGTCCCGTCTCTAATTTGGGGACGTAAAAGAACAACTGAAGACGCAACAAACCCTGTCAGTGACCACCCTCAGTGCCAGCAGTGAGGTCGGCCTGGCGTAGTGTTTCCAAAAAGGTTACTAGTGAATGAGACCTGTTCACGTTACCCTCATCAACGACAAAAACAGAAATATTCATCATACCAATGGAATGTTGCCGGGTGCTGGATGGAAAAACAAACAAAACAACAACAAAGTTCCCCTTGAATTTGAATAAGATGGTGGGTTATACGAAATCTATATACAATAATTATATAAGATATTTCTTTCTGAAGATATTACTTTCTTTGCAGATCAACAGTATTAAAAGTGCGGCCAATAATAAGAAGCCAGGACTAGCTGGCCCACCAGGACCCCCTGGACCCGCAGGACCCCCCGGACCCGCAGGACCCCCCGGACCTCAGGGTCCAAGAGGTATCCCCGGTACACCAGGCGCTGGAAATCTAAGTCAATGTCAGCACCAACAGAAAGAGTCTATTGGCGTTAGTGGTGCACCTTCTGATTATTTTGTCACCTTTATTGAGCCAATGGTAAATTATTCTTAAAAATTTATACGAAGGCATTTCTGATTTTTCCACTGGGCCATTTTAGCATAAAGTTTTTCCATTTCAGATAATTTCAGACCACCGATGTCATGATCATTCCCTAGAGTATCTTATCTTTGTTTAATGATGAAAGGATACATGAATCTATCGATATGACTTAAACAAACTGAAAGATTCGTATTCTCAAGAGAGTGACGAAATTGGAAAAGAAATGGGAAAACATTACGCTCATGCTAAGAAAGTGTATTCTGACAAATTAAGTTGATAGATTTTTAACCGAACTGCTTTTTTAATGTTGTTGTTATTGAGAGGTTAACTTTCATTAATACCGTATATACTTGCAGAACAAAATAGTGGTAGGAGCCTCTTGCTCGACCGTCAGAGGAGACGAAACAAACCTGTCATCTAATACGAATTCACGAGGAGAAAAAGTGTATCTATGTACATGTAGAGGACAGTCAAATTTTGCGACAGGTTCTGGAAATATGAAATGTTTGATAGACGTCTGGGTGTGCCCAAGAATATCTTGATTGTCATCACATAGTTAGGATCAATATAACAAATTAGGTATATAATATATGAAAGAATTCGATCCTTTCATGGAAACGAACGACGCATGCTCACAAGGCATGAAGACGCTGTTCGCCCAAGTCGCAAAAAAGGCTTAACCAAAAAAAGTCATCATTTTAATAATTACAGTTAATCCATTAATTTCTGTGATATAAAAAATCAAAGGAACTTATCAACGCGTAGTCGTTGACCATAGAAAAGTATCCTCGATGTGAGGAAATTAATCCTGAAAAACAGGATCAACCAGTTTAAACCAGTTTTGTACATAAAAATCAGTTAGCATAATCATATTTACCTCTAATTTAGGTAACTTATTTTGGAACTTTAAATATCTAACTCTCGCACATAATTTGCTAACACTAATTGGAAGGTCTTGATCAGAAATATTAGTAAGATATTTTTRAGATATTAGGAATGTGACATGAAAACGAGGTCTATTGATAGCCAATGTGTATTCTCAGACATTAATGGAAGCTCAAATAGTTTCACAAGAGGTAAGTCGGTATTAGAGCTATATAAATATAGAGTGGCTTTACGGCAGTCATATCGTAAGGCAAAGCCATATATATTTTTCCCTTGAGGAAAAGAGGTATTTTTTCATGCAAAAAACATTGTATTGTTTCTTTTCTAAAATACGGCTGTCGTAAAACCACTCTGTTCATATTTTGAAGCAAAATAGCTAAAAATAGCTAAAACAGCCCCAATATGCAATGCAAGCCAACTCGACCCAGCTTTTCTCTACCTCGGAATGACTAACAACCAGTAGCTTCTATAAAAAGCAAAATACAAGTTTATTGGTATATTGGACAAACAGACTATTGTCTGTTACTCTTTGTCTTAAAAGAAGTAGTGGCCCAAACGTGCTAGACGATGCTTAGAGACATATAGGCTACATAAGAATCAGAATGACYTACAGCAATGTGGTTCAGTGCTACCTTCTTTAAACAAATCTTGATAAAATAACGATGCTTGACTTCGGTTGACTGAATACAAAATGTCTTCTTAAAAAATATCCTAAAAATCTAAAAAAAAAAAAAAAATTTAAAAACTCTACAAAACGATCTTCAGAACTGTTTTCATGTTTCTGAGTCCGTACTTATGTAAGGACGAAAGCCAAAACGTGAGAAGGGTCTAGTTGCCGTAAGATCTCGGAAACAAGAAAAGTACTCTATGAAGTCGTTAACATGAAGATAGGATAACCCTATTACTAGGAATAATTCTTGCTTTTTGTTATGTTGAGGGAAGACTTATCCCTGACACCTGGGTCGCCCTACCTTCGTGTAAACGATCAGTAAGTAACCTCAAACAAAGTTGAAGACACTGCTGTCTTGAACTGCTCTAAACAACCTTTTTTAACAATCTATATGCCGTGAGTGAACCTGAATAATACGGGCACCTTAAGCAGTGCCCGCTTTGTTCRGGATTCAGTTACCTATCTACTCACGCAGTCCCAATAAAAAAGAAAACTTGAAACAGCTAGTTCCTCTTCGATAGATCTAATTCATTTTTATAGACTTTTATATTATACCATTATATTTCAATTACTTTTTTAAGGAAGAGGAAGCCATACTCATATATTTACTCATATACTTTATCTTAGCAGTTAGTTGGGGACCGTTCGTTTGAGATATTCCACATCTAGTGATGATATTATTTAAATGTGTACACCAATTGAATTCAAATTGATTTTCGAAATATTCTCAAACGAATCACTCCTGGTCTATATAATCTAGGGATTTGGGTCGTATTTAAATATATATTATATAAGCTTATTTGTGCTTATTTGCTTGCATTAGGTAGCTATCGGTTTTCTCCCGATTCTACTTCTGCCGCTCGCCATTTTGGAAGTTTTCTTRTCGTGACGTCATGGCCTCCATGTTGGTTGTTATAACAACCAACATGGCTGCCACGTCTCGTTTGCAAACCAACAATTTTATAGCTTTGTTTTGAAAAAGGTTATCGTACAAAATACTGAGTACTGCGAATGCATAGTGAATAAGGTGCTATCATTTAGGTTTTAATATTAAAAATAAAAGAAAGAATTAGCGGCATATATTAGGTGCAAAACGTGCTGACTTTATGCTATTTTGTTATTCCCAAGATAACCTTTTTCAAAAATATTTAAAATTCAATTCAATGCTCACTTTAATGCTATTTAATTACAATATTTACGAAAATCTAATAATTTGGCTTCATTAATTAATTATTAATATTAATATTTGCACTTGCACTGGCTTCAGAACAATAATAAGTTAAAAATCCTAACAGGGGGTGTAGCGATTCGTTGATGAATTCAAGCAATAACACACACCCCTGGAGGAGCATTTCAATAAACTAAAGATTGCAATAATTTTCCCCTCTATTTAGCTATTTAATATTGCTTCGCTATGAATTAAGGTCATTTTTAACACTAGGTAGGATTTTTTAAGAGCCATTATATCTTTAAATATTTTTTTATTGAATGATATTTGTAATTGTATGATAATTTTTAACATTGTTTTACAATTTTTATGATGAGAATTTAGTGTAGTTGATATAAATAATCACGTGCAATGAATTACAGAAAATCTTGTAAATATTCTTAATGATTTTTTTTCATAACTTTTAAGATTGTGATTGTAAGAAAAATATTTTAGTTGTGAAAATAAAAATTAAGTGAAATAGAATTAAAAACGAACAAACAAACAAAGTAACAACGAAATCAAACAAACTGCACAAGTCCACCCTACTTCAAACTTGACTTCTTGGACCCGTGGGAAACAATTGCCTTATAAACAGACCTCTATCTTTTATATATAAGATGGACACCTCTCTATTACGGAGACTCATTTAATTGTTGAGAATAATAAAGAGATCACTATTATACGCAAACCTTTCTTATGTCCCGATCCATATAGGACGTTTGCATRATGGCGTCATTTGACTCCCACTACCATAATGCTTCGCGAATTTTCTTTCTTATTCAAATTTGTATTTCCCTATGACAATAGTTAGACAATTGGTGCTAATTAACTGAATAAAAGAAAGAGTGCAAGGGAGTCTGGTAGTAGAGGTCAGTGACGYCATCATGCAAACGTCCTATAGGAAAGGTTTCATTTCTCTTGTATTGTGAAACGGGTACTGTTTATTTTAAAACCACACACCTCTCTCCAATACTGGCACTTGTCTCGTTCAGTTAGCCAATAAACTTTTAGAAATAGCATATTTCCGCGTCATTGTTGGTGAAAAATATTTCGTTTTGACCAGAGATAATTAGAAATACTTGGATTCTTTACTGTTTTGCTATTTCTTTGCGCGCCTAAATTCCAAATCACATGCTTGTATTGCAAGAACCTTTTTTAATGTCAATGAAGATGTTAACTTTATTTAGGCAGGGGGCTCATCCAGCAGCTTGTATGGGTGGTATCTTCAAAATTGTATTTTTTTAGATTTCGTACGGCATCACAGTGCGAAACTGCGATACATACCATGACCGTGTCGTGTCGTTTCGAGCATTTTGATTGGTTTAGCTGTAGCTTCCGCATTGTGATTGGTTCACCATATGTCTTCAATCGTACCATTGCTGTACGGTGTTCCGTTGTATCCTGTGTTGACGATTTTACTGTATGCATAAGTATTTTATGTCTCTAAAGATAAATAATCACTCATTAGCGGACGTATCTCGATAGCAAAAAAAATAGTATCTCTTTCCTTTTCACTTCCATATATGGACTGTAGGAATCCTACAATTACTACTGGTGACGTCACTTTCCTACATCTACAAAAAGAAGGCCAGGAGGCTCAGTGATAAATGCACATGCGAACCCTTCTATCGTTTACACTTTTTGGATTTCGGTCTTGATTTCTCGATTTATTATCATTAGAATGGAAATTAATACTGACGATCAAACGCCATCAACATCTGGAATTCCTTCCACGACACACTCAGAGAGAGAAGATGTAAGTAAACTTATTCAAAATCACTTCATTAAGGCTTTAAATATGGAGTAAGCTTAATATGGTACGCTATTTATTCATGACTGTAAATACGATAGATACTGAAAACTACAAACTTAGAAAATAATGTTCTTGTTTTTACAGTAAGCTAAATGATGACTCGTTATCATGCAAATTTGTTGAAAATATGAGTAAACTTGTGAAACGTATAGTAAGCCTGGTTTCCATAATAGATAGCCCAAAAAATCTTCCAGCGAGATAACCGAACTTTTTCTATCTCAGTTTTGGTGGCAATAGCGTTTGCTGCGATCGCTTGAACGATTTTTTTGGCCATCATATGGAAACCAAAGCACATAGAATTTCTTTCCGACCCTCTGTGGGATGACTGGTAGTTCGGAAAAAGACCAGCCAGTCCACGGAGGTTGAAGAAATCAACTGCTCTCAGGTAAGATATAAAGCTGAAGTGATTCGACCAGCATTGTTAGTTTGGTTCTTATTTTACTATCTTTCTATTCGAGACTCCGAATTTTTTAGCAAATGCTTTTCACCTACATGCTATTAGCTGAAACAGAATTTAATAAAATGATATTACATTTTTTCCAGGGTCCTGTTGGCGATACAGAAATTAGCTCCTCCTCTGAAGATCAAGTAAGTGCATAAAAGGGCAAGGGCCATGTTMAACAACAAATAATGTTGAGAGGCAAATATGACAAAATTTTATTATGTTATGAAAGCAGTAGATCTAGGAATTCAGTATCAGAAAAAAATGTAAGCTTATATTTCAAATGATGTATTTCATGCATTAATGAAAGATTGAGAAAATTTTTGAGAAAGTTTTAATTAAGAGTAGCTGTTAGAGGAGAACATTAWTTTTGGAACMGTCATGYCTGATTTTTGYTTTGACATTGCCAAAGTTTTTTCAGTTAGGTGTATACACCGCTCATATTGGCTGCTGATAGGCAGTGCACCCCCAAATTTTTTCAATTTTGATTAAAATGTGGCTAAGCTGCTTATTAAATACCAAGGCAAAGAGCGTGAATTCAAGCCAAAACAAATGGTCAATACTCTTGTAACTTTTTAAGTGCTTTTAACTTTTTTGCATGCACCTAGCAGCCATTATGAGAGAGATGTATTTCTTTCAAGTTTTTGGTAGCGTTTTACAAAAATTCTGTATAAATCAATTGTATGGGTTTATGGATAGAGTACACAATAATATTATTGAGCACTCCAGAAGGCCTCACTGGTTAAATGTTTATAATATTACTTAGAGCTACAATGTGTTAATGTTAATTGCGAATAGAAATTAGAATCTGCAACATAATGTTGGCTATTGATAAAATGAAAAGAATAACTTAACATGTAGTTATGCAAGTTGTCATTCCTGTTTTGTGGTTGTAAAATCAGTTACTTTAATTTATATTTTGATACAGAAGAAAAGTGTTGTTAAATTTTGTAGGACCTTTACAGGATTTACAGTGGAAATTTAGTTATTTATATATGACCAAAACATTAATCCATATATTTGCTTATGCTTGTAGGATACTGATGACTCCAGCAATGAAGAATACTGCAGCAGTGATAATGAGGGGAAAGAGGTGAGCATTCGTTCAAAATACACTTATTACTTTTTCTTATTTTTATTAGAATTTATAATCCTATTTTTTTATGTTCACTTTTCAATTTTACATAGGAAGGGATATTCACTTCATACCTGAAGAAATTGTCCTCAAAGCAAGATATTGCTGAAGTCAAAGAACAAATGACATCAGATGCATTATCCACATCATCCATTATCAATAGCTACCTCTCCATGAATTCCATAATTTTCCCACAACAGCCACGTGCATCATCTCATCCACCAGTAATGCCTTCATTATCTTCACCTTCATCATCTTCACCGCAAGACATTCTTAATGCACTTTCTGACATTTCATCCAAACTTGAACGCTTTACTGCAAACATTCCCACATTACCTGAGCACACCAATGCTGCAGACACACAACATGTAGCTTTTCAAATAGCCCACTGGTCATCACTATTCATTAGCATGTTGCAAAACCCAATTGCATCTATATCTTTGTCTGCATCTTCGTGTACATCAACATCTTCATCTACATCTACATTAATGTCACAGCCACCATCCACACCACAGCCATTCATACCACAGCCATTCATATCACAGCCATTCATACCACAGCCATCCATACCACAGCCATCTATACCACAGCCATTCATACCACAGCCATCCATACCACAGCCATCCATACCACAGCCATCCATACCACAGCCATCCATACCACAGCCATCCATACCACAGCCATCCATACCACAGCCATCCATCCCACATCCATCCACACCACAGCCATCCACACCACAGCCATCCATACCACGGCCATCCATACCACGGCCATCCATACCACAGCCATCCACACCACATCCATCCACACCACAGCCATCCACACCACAGCCATCCACACCACAGCCATCCACACCACATCCATCCATACCACAGCCATCCATACCACATCCATCCACGCCACAGCCATCCACACCATAGCCATTCATACCACACCCATCCATACCACACCCATCCATACCACAGCCATCCATACCACATCTATCCACACCACAGCCATCCATCCCACAGCCATCCATACCACAGCCGTCCGTACCACAGCCATCCATACCACAGCCGTCCACACCACAGCCATTCATACCACAGCCATCCATACCACAGCCATCTATACCACAGCGATTCATACCACAGCCGTCCGTACCACAGCCATCCATACCACAGCCGTCCGTACCACAGCCATTCATACCACAGCCATCCATACCACAGCGATTCATACCACAGCCGTCCGTACCACAGCCGTCCGTACCACAGCCGTCCGTACCACTGCCACAACCATCATCAATCATTGACAAAGAGACAGTCAAAATCTACAAGAAATATGGTTGTGCAAACCAAGCTATAGAGGAATGGCTAAGGGAATTGCACATCCCAAGAAATGTGGAGAGTTTAGAAGATGTAAAGGTTATATGGGAAGTTGGCGCAAGGAACTGTCCACCACTAAGTGTGTGGACAGCCAGGATGAGGAGGCCAGGGGGAAAGAGTGGCAACCATTCTTCTATCTTCAACCAAAGAAAAAAGGTTTACAATGTGTTCAAGTCTTGTAACTTTGATGTGGAYCAAGTCCGACTTCTCTACAAAGAAGTAAAACCTGGAAATTTATATAAAATTTTATCGTCCAAAGGACACTAAAATTAAAAATTTTGAACGTCAGTGACTCAACCTGAAAACACAATAGACAGAAATGGCAGACATGGTCTCTGTTTGTCTCTAATGTTTAAGGTTTTCTGTGAATGGCGGTCATACAGTTAAAAGCTCTTGCAATAGGTTTGACTTTCATTCATAAAAAGATTATTATATTAAGTGTACTATATCTTATAAAGGCGGTTCCGTGGACCCCTTTGACCGCCTGGATTCGCCACTGATCGACTTTTTGACATTACTGAAATAGCAAATGACTAGCTAACTATAAATAAACATAGCATACTTTGATTTTTTTTACACAATTGCAATGGTTTCATTAAGGCTAGAAATAGTTTTTGTACTTCTTTTCTTTCCTTTTATAAAGCAATATTGCAAGATTATAAATCAATATTATAAAGCAATATTACTAGTTCAGGGAGTGTATCAGGAGCGGATTTGGGGATGGAAGGTTAAGCTAGAAACAGCTGACGGCTTTTATTTCTTAAAATAAGCTCTTTTGAAGTTTCCGATTTCTGGATCCGCCCCTGCTTATAGACACGACAATTAAGATAGTATGTGATAACGTTACTGTTTTTAGTTTATTAAATACACAAGCGACAACCACAAAACGCTATTTGTGCCATTGTGAATGTTATGATCGAGTGATAGTACAAATATAGATTTAATAGGTATAGTACACTTCAAACGCAAGCACTAAAGTACGAAATAGCGTCGATAAAAGCAATAAAAACGATAGGCATCCAACAATCAAAAATAGACAAATAGACTTGTTTTTTTAACGGATTAATTGATTACTCAAGTCATTAGTGACTAAATATTTTATAGTTTTATAGTACGGTGTACATTCTTAATAAAGAGTTTGCATTGGTTGTTTGAATAGATGGATCATTTTTCTTTCGCAGCTTCGTGCGATGAGCCAAAGCAAAATATGGATTCCTAAGAGTAAGATATTTTGGGTCGGACTCAATCTGTGGATTTCGGGGTCTGTTCGCGCTAACGCAAAACGTGGACAGAAACGCATGGTGTATAGCCCATGGTGATAGAGTCCACATTTTGAGTTGACGCAAGATATGTGGATTCCCAAGAGTTGGGCCCAGGGCAAACGTCGAACTAACCATGAGCTTAATTCAGTCGAACCTATTACATTTGAAATAGGCTCAAGCCTAGTACGACGTTTGCTGCAATTGAGAACGAACCTATTGAATAGGTTTGAGTCCAGCATATGTTCGACAAGCCAAAACGGACGCCGTTTTAAAAACGAGACGAACCAAATTCATAAATTATGCAAAATAGTAAATAAATCATGCAAGCCGCATGAGTTATAGCAAAGTCGTGAAAACATTCCCCCCCTCCCCTCCTGGCGAGCATGTGCCATACAAAAATGAGTGATGAACGAGACCGAGGAGCTATGGATACGAAAATAAATTACAAAACCACTCTAACTGAATATGTCCGCGTTTAGAAAATCATTACCACGAGACGAGACTCCTGAGTCTTTTGTAGTTTTTGTTTTGACCAAACGAAATATGTTTGGTTTCGACCTGCAATCAATGTGCTGTATACGAGAGCAACGAAGATGAACCGGGCTGGACGGCGCGGGAAAAAGCGTTGCGTATTGTGAATGCTGCCAGAGAGAGAGAAAAAAAAAATGAAAAACAGATTCCCGCAAGGATATGTATAAAGAAATGTCAAACAAATGTCCGTGCGTTCCCCCGTACATTTTCATGTCCAATTAAAATTATAATAACAATGGGTAAGTTAATTAAGATCACATCCGAGGTTAGTCCTGGGCCTAATACATATTTTGAGTTGAACTCAATCTGTGGATTTCGGGGTCTGTCCATAGTTCGCGCTAACGCAAAACGTGGACAGAAACGCATGGTGTATATATAGCCCACGGTGATAGAGTCCACATTTTGAGTTGACGCAAAATATGGATTCCAAGAGTGAGACATATTTTGAGTTGAACTCAATCTGTGGATTTCGGGCGGTGTCCATAGTTCGCGCCAACGCAAAACGTGGACAGAAGCGCATGCATCTTGAGTTGACGCAAAATATGGATTCCAAGAGTGAGACATAATTTGAGTTGAACTCAAACTGTGGATCTCCCATAGTTCGCGCTAATGCAACATTTCTGTTTAAAGTTTAGAGTTGAAAGATGAAACGATTTCCCTTGTACCCAGAAAATAATAAAATGTCCCTTTTGACTTTTATCCTACATCCTGTCTACCTCCCCTTCGGTTTCCTTGTCCAATTAAACGCCAAGTACTACTAAATTAATGAATGAATGACCAATGGTAGTGAAACATTGACTTTTTTTATGTAGAGGAATAACCGCAAGGGTAGTCCACTTTGCGAGTTGTGGACATTTCTCGGATCCACGTATTTTGCGTCGACGCAAATTACGGCCCATATCTCTATACTCGTTCGACATACCATCACATGCCATGCTTTTTGTGGTGAGTTACACAAAGTCAAGACGCCTCGAATAAAACTGCAAAGATTTAATTATAAATCGGTTCCACCGCGCAATGTGTCCATCTAATAAGTCCATATTTCGCGCTGTGATGCGTAAAGCGATCCACATTTTGCGTCGACGTGAAATACGGCCCATATCTCTATACTCGTTCAACATAGCATCACATGCCACGCTTTTTGTGGTGAGTTACACAAAGTCAAGACGCCTCGAATAAAACTGCAAAGATTTAATTATAATTCGGTTCCACCGCGCAATGTGTCCATCTAATAAGTCCATATTTCGCGCTGTGATGCGTAAAGCGATCCACATTTTGCGTCGACGCGAAATACGGCCCATATCTCTATACTCGTTCAACATAGCATCACATGTTGGTAAAAAAAAGATTTGATCTTGAGAATAATTGTGTAACATCACTGAACATCAAGCCAAATGAGTCGTCAATAGTTTTAGAAGTAATTTCACTGCAAATTTCCTATACTGAGTATTGGTTAGAGGATGCAGAAGGGGCAAAATGGGAAAGCAAACAAAACAAAAAACAAAGGGAAAAAACAATAGAAAATGGGCCGTGGCAGTTGAGAATTTGAGCAAAACTGTGGGATTTTGGAATGTTGCAAATGACCCTGAACCAATTGTTTGCTAAAAAAAAAAATTCTTTTATCCCTTTTCAGTTCCAAAACTTTGCAAACCTGACAGCCAAGAGCTTGCTAGGCAGCGATATATCATTCAGGTTAGTGTCTGGGCAGTGAAGTTTGATGTTTGGTGGTGTGGTGTGCACAGCACGCCAAATCATACAGTGGCCCTTCCCTTCTTAAGCAAGCCAATGCCAAATTCTGACAACCTGCCTGAGCACAGTGGAGCAGTCCTTTTCAAAAAAAAGTTACATCATATATAACCTATGATATATAAAGTAATTGAACAAATATTACAATAGATAGAGTGAAGGCATTTCAAACTTGTGTAATAGATATTAGACTAATACACATTGGTAGACCTTAATTGCATTGTTTTTGTGTGTTTGTGTGTGTGTCTATTTTACTGTTACACATTGACTAGTATTTTTTATTTCACAGGTTAAATGCCTTCAGAGGCGGATACAGGGGGTAGATTGGGTGGATTTCCACCCCCATTTTGATCCCTCTAAATTTAAAAAAATAAACTGATTTCAAACCAAATAGCTAAAAAAATGAATTGATTCAAAAGAAAATATAAAAATTTACATTTAAAGGTGTTAACGTATTATTATATGGATTGATTCTTGTCGAATTCTGTTGGCTACAGTATTTTTCCATTATTTGTTTCTAATCTATACCTTTTTAGTGCCTTTCTAATTTCATTATAAAGTGTAATGACCTATGGTTGATTGAAATTTTTTTCCACCCCCGCTTGAAAAATTCTGTATCTGCCCCTGGCCTTCTCTCTAGGTAAATAAAATGTAAATGAAAATATTCATACTCAACTACTAGCTTTAAAGCTAATATTAGAGCCCTGGGCCCTATCCTCATCCCTAAGGGTATTCCAAAGCTTTACCCCTAAATAGGTAAAAGAGTGAAGCCCATACCTGGTTTTAATGACTTTTGGTACCCACAACTTCCCTTAACCCCCTTCAAGTACATGAATCATTATGAAGCTTAAGCATGAACTTAAGAATATTGTTGCCATATTGTTAAGGCATGAGGATGTACCTGTGATCTTCTGGTTTTCAGAGATTTGATATTGATCTTACTAGTATTCAGTAACACATCATAAGAACTACTAGAATCATTAAATATAACTCCAAGTATCTAGCACCACAAAAATGTCAAACCTTGCCAGAGTAAAGAAAATAAGGTAACATAAATGCCATTTTGTTTATCAGAACATTTATTATACAAAGAATAGTGGTCTCTTGAGAAATGATTGTTCCAGTTGAGTAACATGGTGACTAATAGGTACTAAATAACAATTGTTAGGCAGTAATAACTTTAATCTCATTTTATGGAGCACTCTACAAGAAGAAACACCATCAATAAAGCAAGATTTTGAAATGTTGTAAATAAATTTATATTTTATTGAATATCAGGAATAAGCATTTAGTATCTGTTTCACATGTTTATGAAAACCACTTTAGAACTGCTTTAGGTTTAATTTCCTATTTTGAAATTAGAGTGGTTTTCAAAAGCCTGTGAAACAATATAACTAATACTGTGCATGAAATAATATTTCATGTAGTTACCCATTACATGTATTACATGTAAAGACTAATAAAGTGTCACATACAACAGTAATTGGGTTTTTTGAATACCACTCTAATTCTGACAATCTTGAAAACAATAACATTGAAAAAGTAATATATTTGTCAAATTTAGTCCGATATTTAAAAAAAATTGAATTTTACTAATATCACCCTGTTGAATTTCAAAGTGTACTTTGGAATGAAATGAAATAGAAATGAAATTAGCATCATCTTTTTTCTTTCACTTTTATCATAATGAGAAAATTCATGCATCCTCATCCACTTCACTCATATCGTCTTTACTATCTTCTTCTTCATCATCATCATCATCATCCTCATTCTCATCATCAGATATATCTTCTTTGAAGAATCTATCCATTAGCTTATCCGCTTCATCATCTGCAATTTCCTCCAAGCCATCTGGCATACTGGGTTCTTCTTCTTCATCTGGGTCCAGGAATGCCTTTGCATCTGCAATCGCATCCAATGAGGAAAGGAATGGAGACATCAACCTAGGAAAAAATATGATGCAAATTTAAATAAAATGTCTCAAAGTATCTAGTCATTCAAGTGCTTTAACACTAGTTGGGGACATTTTCTCTCTCACTCACTACCCCTGCATTTAAACCACCATAGCTTTGAGGAGAGAACAACACAAGGAAACTAGACTCACAAGTGGTGTCCACAGGGCTTGAACCCACAAGTTACCCAAACCTATGTTTAATTCATTGTTTGACTTTTCATGCCACTACTTATTTACAGTAATTATAAGGTAACACATATACACACACACACACACACAAAAATACAAATGGTGTTAGGGATGTCTGAAATACTTCAAGACTGATAAATAATTAAATTTAATATTGAAGTTTAATTGAAGACCGATACCTTGATATATACTGGAATATTTGTGCTTAATCCACAGCGGTGGACGATGGAGCAGTTTGAGTGGGAGACAGTACAGTCGGTACGTACCATAACAACAGTGTCTGTACCGTAATTTTTATAATACCATTTAAAGATTCTGCAGAAACTGTTATGGTCAGTTTCCCACTCATACCAAAACTGCTCCAATGTGTTATCGCATACACCACCCATGCTACCCATTAACATTAAAAGCTCATACATGTAGTTTCTCAAATCATGGACATTTTCAATTTTGTTATGGTATGTTATGTAAATGAAAAGGCAACTGATCAAAACACTAAGCCACCTGTGCTTCCAATCCTCACCCTTTTTTTTTTTCCTGATATTTATCTACCTCCATCAGAAACAACACAGCTGGCTTGGTTATGTCATGCGTATAGTGGCACTTCGCGCTTTCGTCAATCAGGGCAAACTCGGCAAAATATATAGAAATCTAGATCACTTTGAATGTTCCCGTAACTCTGCTCAACTTTGATGGGTTTTCATAATCTTACCTTTTTTGAAAAGATATTTTATTTCTTATTCATGGCTATTAATATGATGGATATTGTAAATCTACGAATCGAGACATTGATATTTTTGTTTTTATAACAAACCGATGGGCACGAGAACATGCAAAATGTGTGAAAATGCGCGTCACTCGTCTCGTAAAAGGTAGTTAAAACACTTACACTTCTCTTATTTTCAGTCCGACAACTGGTACTTAACTCTGCTGGTTAAGTTATTAAAGTTTAAATTATGAAAACCCATCAAAGTTGAGCGGAGTTACGGGAACATTCAAAGTGATCCAGATTTCTATATATTTTGCCGAGTTTGCCCTGATTCAAGATGGCGGACGAAAGCGTGAAGTTGTCTATGCCCTGGCACGTCTCCCCCAAAAATTCCTCTTCTGGAGTCCGACAGGCAGTGCATGSTGTGGCGAGACGCTGTTACACTCGACCCGCAGTCTTCAATCCCCTTTGAAGAGGCAGTGGTGGCGGCACAAGACATGAACGCATGGCGTTCCTTAGTATTCGCGCTACGTGAGCACTGCCCGCGACAGCAGTAAGGTGTTTATCATTGCCTAACATGCCCCACATTTCGGTATTGAAAATTCTATATATCATTATGCATATGTTGGGAACTTACTCTGAGCCAAATGCGGCTACGGGCTTGCCCTTCCTTCTAAGTACGCAACAGCGACATCTCTCTTGGCATCTCCAGCAACGTRGATAGTACTTCGTCCGCACGCGCTCGGTTGCCTCATTAAACCTTTCCACCTTTTCTTGAAGAGATGATGGAATATCTGGCGGTCCTGTCTCATTCAGCTTCTTTGCCTTTGCTAACTTTAGCCTGGAACAAACGGCTTTCTCGAATCTTCCAGGCTTATCCACCGTCGCATCTACGAATCTTGCCTGGAATGCGCCCCGCGTGGATTCCTTTGCCACCTCCAACATTTTGAAGAACATGGCCAGTACGCCAAGCACCACTGGATTCCCTCTAACTTTATCACTGGATTTCAAACCCGAAATGCATGCAAATGAATAGATGGCCAAGTCCATCAATTCTATTACATCAGAAGGGATTTTTTCAAGTTTTTTTTGCATCGTGTCTCTATCTTCACATCCACTCGCCATGTTTCAACAACTTGCGCCCAATGCAGCGCATGCGCGACCTTTATCGACAGTTGGGTCGGGGGTCGTCAGGGGACTGAACAACACTGAACGGGTTACGCACGTGCGGCAAAACACATGCAAACACATACATTACAGTACTTGTGATTTTTTGTATTCTAGTCTGATTTCTCTTAACATCATGAGCGCTATAAAGCTCGAATTTCTCAGGCCGCTGTATGATATTGCTATCTGGCAATTTCTTGTGATGAGGGAGCCTGGAAGGACACGAAAGAAACCCGCCATGACATATGCCATGCATGAGGTGGTGGCAAACCTCCTAATAAAGCTTTTGGAGGCAAAGGCGTTCAGTCATTTGACGGATAGACTGCAAGAAGATATATACTCGGAGAAAACGGGACACTGGAAGAAAGGAGAGCCAGCAACTCCCAAAATTATTGAGTGGTGCCAGGATCAGTGGCGAAGAAAGAATCCTGTCTTGTCAGGATTACCAGTAAACGAGGATAACTGTGGACTTTGCTTGCCACTATTTGGCGAACAAATGCCGGTTTGCCATAAATGCGGAACCCCATGCCCCGAATGCCGAACAGAACTTGGCCTAGAGCTCCCTCAAGAACTACGTTCCGCTCATGAAATTCTGTCAATGGTAGTCGATGGGGATGATTCAAATCAAAGCGAAGACGAAAGCACTACGTCCTCGGTTTCCGCCGCGGTTTCAGCAACCCCACGAAAAAAAATGCGTTTAAGATCAAGAAAGTAATATTAAGTAAGTTATAAAGCTTGAAATGATTGTACCATAAGACTGGGTTTACAGAAGAAAAAATCTCTGCAAGACTTAATGACTAGTAGCGTCCGAGTCCGACATAAAAGAAGCATCGTTTTCTTATTTACGTATATGTGTTGGGTGTCATCCTGGTTCATGTTGTAGTTACTTTATTGACCAAAGGAATTTCAAGAGATCGTGGATTTTAAAAAGTTAAACTATATTATTTTAAGAAATGATTCTTTATGAAGCTTACACCATGTGCCTTCTTCGTGTTTACTAGTATTAGCACAGGTTCCACTAGAGGACCAAGGGTATCTGACCAAGAGCATAGTTAGGTATTAGATTAGATTTATCTAAAGGTCCAACCGCTGGTTCAACTTTTTTCTGGATATTTTGGTGGAAATTATTACATTTGACACCTATTTTCAAAATTACGCGACCTGTGTAGTTGGCACTTAAAAGGTTTTTTCTTGTGCTTTGGCTGCCGCCAATCAAACTTCGGACGATTTGTTTTCATTCAAAAAAGCTCAAAATGATCTTAAAGTTTCAACCGTTTGAATATTAAAAAAAGAAAGACAAGTTTGCTTCGTTTCAGAATTCACAAAGCAAGGATTTTGCAAGAACAAGCCGTTTTCATATTTGATTGACGGCAGTCAAAACACAGAAAACAAGACGAGTCGCGAGCAGCGCCGGTCGCGTTTATTTTGAAAAAAAATAGRTTTAAAGGATTTTGAATCAAGGCTAACTAGTTGTAACGCATACTCAACATCAAAAATCTCTCTCGTTATTTACATTTCTTTGTGAATTCTTGATTAATTTTTACTTCTATATTAACTTTGCTTTTGTGAATCTCAAACGTGCGACAATGGACTTATTTAACACTCATTTCCGTTAGTTTAGGTGTCCGTTTTCCAATATCGATATTTTGATCACAACTTTAAATGTATGGAGCAATGTTATATTTGATTATRACGTCACAGACATGATTAAAAATCATGAGAAAAAAATTGAACCAATGGCTAATGGACCTACTAAGATTATTCCAGTGAGGTTTCAGCTCAATAAATTTTGTTTCAAATTGTCCTTGAAAGTCAAAACTCTCAGCGCAATGGCTTGAACATCCACTTTTTGTGGTCACTAGATGGCCGGTTGTCATGCTGCAGTTTGATGATTTCTGCGCGGGCATCCTGCGTATACAGCTCAAAGCTATTGGATTTCCTGTAGATGAAAAATAAAGAATAAAATGCACTTATGTTATATTGAGAATTCCAATTATTAGAATCGTATAGAACGGTCTGAACCCAGCTGAATGAATGTTAATCGAAGTATTATGATCATCTGTGTGGATGTAGTCCTGAGAAGGACTGTTTGATGTGACCGATATTTCGACAACCTGAGTGGAAGTCATCTTAAAGAATGAATATTCTTCACTTGACTCTGAAGATGACTTCCGCTCATCCACCCGGATGATCATAATACTTCGATTAACAATAATTAGAATATTGACTGTGTGACCTACCATCGCCCTGCCCTCTTTATTGTGCTGTCATCGGCACCACAGCGAGCAGCCCACTGAGCTGCCGATCTTCTTATTRAATGGGTAGTATATGGCTTCCCAAAAAGGTGTTGGCACATCTGTTGGTAAAATATTATGTCACTGATATCCAAGTTACATAATTATTATGTTTGATTTAAAGTGAATTTTGCTTACCTGGCCAAATGTCTTTCTATATGAAGATACACCATGATAGCTTCTTGAAGAACTGACTTCTAGATTATTTCTTGCAATACGGGGGAAAATCAGTCCTTTAGTGATGCCTAAAAAGTGAAGTAATAATAACATTTGCATACTTCAGTACTTAAAGACCAAAATAAATTCCACATGCCCAGTGAATAAAAAATGGAACAGGAGGATCCAGTGGTATCTATTAGCAATTCCAATTATGTTAACATATCGAAGTGCTCAATACTTAAATTATGGCCATGGTTGTTAGGAGCCTACCCACCTTCCCCCACCCAAACCCATATTTGTCCCTTACTTGAAGGGGGATGGATATAATGATCCCCTGGTCCGTACCCCTCTCAATACTCCCTGTCCTTCCAAATACTGTTTGCATTCCAAGGACACCACATAGAAAGAATGCTTATTCTTTTTACTGAACACCTACCTGTTATCATAAACCAACTCAGTAGGGCTGTAACAGGACAGAGGTTTGAATCCAAGGGGTTTGACCAAAGAGTCAGTGTAACACCTGAAAATTGTAGCATTAAACAAAATGAAAAATACAGGGTGGTAATTTTGGTACAATGACAGGGAACTTTACACTAAGGAAATGGTGGGGAGTTTTGCTACATTAATTAATGCTTTCCACTTCGTTTAAAGTCTCGCAAATCATCCCAATTTTGATGCAAAGGAATTGCAAATAGCTAGAATAATGTTCACTTTTAACTGGTTGAGCATTAGACTGCAGAAGGTGGAAAAGTTAAAAACAATATATTAATGAATCACAACTAGTTGCTCACGCTTATAGTTTCGTTCGTTTTAAAAACAGAGAAATCACAGGAAGCCCAGGGTCGATGAAATGCTCTGTGAGACTCAGTATCAATGCAATTAATAACTTGTTTGTGAAAATCATTGCATACCTTTGGCTTGTCTATCCGCTTTTGAGAAAGGAATTCTAACCTCGATTCGATGAGGAATGTTGTCCGATTTTGCTAAAAGAAAAACGAAAAAAAAAGACAGAATATGTTTTTTCCAATGAAAAGCAGGGGRAAAAAACGTAATGAAAAGCAGGTCACGCCACATGGCTTCTTGTCCTTTCTTTATCTCCACACGCTCATGTATGCAGTTTAAAGTTTCGAATGTTAACTTCAGTGTAGGTATCAGGGATGTTAAATGCTATTCCTATTGAAGTTTCAATTACTAAATGTAGTTACCCATCATGTCCAAACACTTAGAAGACTGAGCGTGTACGTCTACTTTGCGGGGAAAGATAAACCGAAAAGGACTTACGATCGAAACCATCAGGAAAAGAGAGATGCTTGACTTTCAGTCTTAGTGGCTCCTCACCACGTAGAAATAAAGAAAATGAGAACAAGGTAACCGTCCAAAGCCACAATCCACATAAACCCTAAAAATCAAATGGCCGAACAAAGTTACTTTCAATTCCCTCGAAAGATATATAGAAGATATTACATGGGCGCGCGGAGATACGAAATTTATCTTCGAGTGTTGAAAAGATCTCTCACGAGTGAGCGTAGCGAAAGAGTGGAGACTTTCAACACGAGAAGATAAATTTCGTATCTCCGCGCGCCCATGTAATATTCTGGTTATTATATATTTATCCATAAAATCAACTTAGTAAGCTTTTCATTATTATAACTAACTAACCAATAGCTTAAATACGGAAGGTAACAATATTTTCACATGTGAAAATAACGTTATTTTCACACGTGAAAATATCCGTTTTTCGAAAAGGAGAAACATAGGTATTTCATGGATAATTATATGATAAAACTTAGTAATTAGCATTGTTTCACCTCTATTGTCATTAAGCAGTAGTTCCTCATTCTGTAGAGGTCGTCAAGCATAAATGGAGGGGCTTTCTTCGGTTCATATGCCTGACGACCTCTACGCGTTTCTTTCTTTGAAGGTCGCTTAGCTCTTTTGATGAGTTGCTTGATTGTTTGCTTCACACCTGAAATGKGGATACATATGCATACTGAAAAAAGTTCAGCATTTTTGATGGGACGATATGTAGCTCCAACCGCAAGATTATAAAACTTTAAATATATTTCAATGTCGGTGCGAAGTAACAGCAATAACATTATGTCGGAAAACATAAAGCTACGAGCCTTAGTTTCAGGCCCAAAAGGGAGAAAAGGAGGGGAAAGGGCTATCCTTTTCACAGCTCTTCCCCCTCCCAATCCTCCTCTCCTTTGATCCTGAAACTCGGGTTAAAAGCTAGGTAAAAAGGCTTGTGTATATGAAATGACATCAGTATTTTTTTATATTTTTTAATCTGTATGCTTTGAAAATTAAACTCCATTAATATGCCTTTTACATCAATTATGAATCATAAACAATATTGATTGAAAGTTTCAGAGTATCGTATTTACTAGTATAAGCGCCTCCCCCGAGTAAGCGGGCTTTTGGGCCAAGATTTTTAATAAGCACCTTCCTCGAATAAACGTCTCCCCTTCTCGTCTCACAATTCCTACAATACTTTAAATACTGTAGTAACTGTATACCATTAAAATCAAAACTGAGAACGGCTTATATCAACTGTTGTGTCCGTTTCTTAAATAAGCGCCTCCCACTAATACTTAAGCGCTTCCGTCAAATAACAGCGCCGTTTCAGACGTGAGAAACTTATTCTGTCGAGTAAATACGGTATACTTTATTTTGACATAGTCTAAATGCTTATAATTAGTAAACTAACCAGGAGAAAACATCGGATTGCCACTTGGTGTTACTCCAATCACCTTGCCCTCTTCATCTTTCTCCACTACTTCTTCGTAGGGCCCAGTATGTCCAAATGCATTAAACCAGTACCGGAAAGCGGCTTTATAACCATTTATTACTGGGGGTTTTAACCCCTCACAACGAAGGGATCCGATTTTTTTCCCTTTTCGTTCGCACTTTTTTTCTATAAAAGAAATATATATACGCTATTAAAATTGCCAAAATTTGAGTGTTTAGGCTAAAAATTCCAAGTTTAACATCTTTCGCATAGTGAGAACCATTCTAGGATTTCTTAAACTATATAGCTTCCTGTAGTTGAATATATGTATCATACTTCAAACGCCTAATACAAGAATGAGTTAATTTCAAATTACTTCAGAGCACGCTTTTTACACGCCAGTGATCCTTACCTGTGCCGGAATTAATGTGATCGGCACACTACACACAGAAATCCCGCTATCTAACACAAAGTCTTTATATGCGTTTCTGTCCACGTTTTGCGTTAGCGCGAACTATGGACACCGCCCGAAATCCACAGATTGAGTTCAACTCAAAATATGTCTCACTCTTTGGAATCCATATTTTGCGTCAACTCAAAATGTGGACTCCATCACCATGGGCTATTTCTGTCCACGTTTTGCGTTAGCGCGAACTATGGACACCGCCCGAAATCCACAGATTGAGTTCAACTCAAAATATGTCTCACTCTTGGAATCCA